TGTTAAACGGCTTCATATGTATTTCTGCAATTTACACTTTACAATTTTCTCCAGTGTATGAATTCGGTGTGCACTACTTTTGAAGTGCATCAATATAGTAGAGCAAGTAGTATGTGGAGTGAACATTTGTAATGAGTTTTATCCAAGGCATTTCTCTACAAAACAAACCTGTTGCTGTCCACACCAATACGACCAGCGTTACAGGTGAAACAACTCCACGTTCAGGGCATGCCAGGTGCATCTTCTTCTACATGAAAAGAGAAACGGACCAAATACATCAATTTAAGCACTCAAAAAGCTATCATGCATCTGTTAAACACACATTCCTACGTTGTGTTGGTGCCAATTGCTAGAATTTATAGATAAATAAATATTTCATCTACGTAATGAACGTACCTAAGTTATTTATCGTGCGGTAAGTATTACTTATTGCATACCATGAAACAACAGTCTTACCAGAATAATTGATGGATGTCTCTGTAACGAGAACAGCGCCCTCTACAAACTATTTGAAAGATTTCAATATGCAGTGATCAATGGAAAACAAGGATGCAGTTACTACTATTAGTCAGTTTCGATCCAACAATTTACGTGAGTCACACAGCTAGCACGTGTATAGCTGACACCGGAATGTTAGTTTTGTGTTAACCTTTTCTACTGTTAGGACAAATTGTGCTTTTTACTTTTGGTGAATAAATAATAAATTAAAATGATAACTAATGAATAAGTTTGTGTATTTATATTGCGCTAACTTCCATACAAAGTCACTTGCTTAAACCACACGTTCTTCGTTGTGGGGGAGGATGACTCTCCGTTACCAACCTTGCTTAGCTTCTAATTATTTGGGGGCTGGGTAGTCTAGTGGGATCACTCAACACCACATGCCGGTGACCCGGGTTCGACACATTACATGGGCACAATGTTATATGGATCCCCGCCGTGATATTGCTGGAATATTGCTAAAAGCTAAAACTCAGTCAGTCAGTCTAATTATTTGAGACCTGTGTTTTTTCACGGGATCACTCAACACCACATGTTAGGTGTATATGTGTATGTACACATTAAAGGCGAAAATGTATGGATGCCAGCTTCTTTATATGAGGAGCACGACGTTTTGGAGTATATTCCTACTTCTTCATCAAATAAAGGAGTATGAATATACTCCGAAACGTCGTGTTCCTCAGATAAAAAAGTTTACGTCCATAAATTCTCGTCTTTATGTGTATCACTTCTAAATGACGTTCAAAGACACTCTGTACATCTTGTATATATGAGTTACTGCACCCGACTGCATCTCTAAAACCAAGAGTAATCTACAACTCAAAACACTCACCTGGTGTACTTGCACACTTGTATATCATATGAATTTACCTCCGTGTCCAACGTGGAGTCCAACGCGGAATCGTCGGAGAAATAATGAAGAGGTTTGAAAGTCGTGGCTACAAACTGGTTGCCTGCAAAATGATGCAGGCTTCCAAGGCACACCTTGAAAAACATTATGCAGATCTGTCAAGCAAGCCATTCTTCCCTGGCCTTGTCAAGTACATGGCATCTGGACCCGTTGTTGCTATGGTTTGGGAAGGCAAGCATGTAGTAAAGATGGGCCGTAAGATGCTTGGCGCCACAAACCCAATCCGTATATTTACTGATGAAATGCGATGTGATGTTAACGTCATTCGAATTCATAATATGACGTCAGATTGAAGTGAAGTCATGACAGAAATAACGCACTGTTAAGGTCAATCGACATTTGTGTTTTTCTAAGAGTGTGGTCGTTATCAGTTGGTATAGTAGCATTCGTGTCACAATCTCGTTCTTTCAACATATTATAATGAAGTTTGTGATAGGCGTTCAGTAGGGGAAAAACATAACAACATCGCCGCTTTATACCGACAACAGCTGTAGAAGAGCTGTTTAAGAGCTACGTCTTGCCCCTTTATCATATGAACACCATATAGATTATGTATAGAAACAAATATATGTTTAGACCAGACAGGAGTAATATACAAAGATGATTGTGGGCGACGAAGCCAATTTATTAATATTACTGTCATGGCAACTCAGTCGTTACTGGAATGTTTCCAACTGTTTATTCTACAAGCCAAAGATTAACGAAACAATAGTATACATTTATCCGGCCTATAAAAGATAGTACACAATGCCATGACTGAATCTACATATGTATATGTCCTGTATAGATATCAAACAAAATACAATATCACAATAGAGCAACATGCACGCATTTTGTAATATCTATACTGTTATGTGCCGGTATTATTTATTGTGTATATGTATATAAGTTTGATTACTGTTGGTGAGAGGTGCATATTAATTACTGTTTCAATGATATAATCACTGTTCTTGTATCACATTACCTTGAAATGTGTACTGCAATCTATTTCCTACTGCCATAGAGACACCTTGGTATGAATTTGTGAACTAAGTTCATTTTAGAATACAATTGATAATTATATCACATTGCTATGTTGCTTGTTGCCTTCAGATCTAGTTCGACCCGTGAAGATCCGGGTTAGAATTGATCTTCAGTAACCCATGCTTGTCTTAAGAGGCGACTCACGAGATCGGGTGGTCAGGCTCGCTGACTTGGTTGACACATGTCATCGTATCCCAATAGCATAGATCGATGCTCATGCTGTTCATCACTGGTCCAGACTCGATTATTTACAGACCGCCACCATAAAGCTGGAATGTTGCTCACTGCGGCGTAAATTTTCACTCACTCACTCACTCACTCACTCACTCACTCACTCACTCACTCACTCACTCACTCACTCACTCACTCACTCACTCACTCACTCACTCACTCACTCACTCACTCACTCACTCACTCACTCACTCACTCACTCACTCACTCACTCACTCACTCACTCACTCACTCTAGTTCTCTTACACACTGATTCCTGGTTAACTTCTTAGTTTCAACCCGGGAAGCAACACGTAACACACTGCATTGTTTTAGGGGCAAAACCATTAACGTATACTAGGTACTGACGACTGTATTGCACTCTTTTGTGTGTTATACTGATTTCATGAACTCCTGTAAGTATTCATACATGACCTTCCCTCTCCGTGGGAAATACAAGCGTTCAAACACAATACATATTGTGAATGACTCATCAACCCCGAACTCCGACCCGGCTGAATTCTGGCTGCAGGAAAAGACACAATAGACTTCTAATTTTGTGACCCATTAGTAAGGTGAGGTGAGGTGAAATTGGGTTTAACGTCGTGCTTGAGAATATTTCGCTCATATGACGACGTGCATGCGTGTGTATGTGTATGTGCGGCTGCTTGTACTAGCCCAGACTTAAGCTGGTTTTATAGTGCTAGCCCACTGAGATACCATGCCGCAGTGAAGCATGAATACCCCACTCAGACACATTATACTAACTCCGAGCCGACCAGTCCTTGTTGTACCCATTAATGCCGTGCGCCAGGCGGGGACCAACAAGTACCATATTTTAACGTCTTTTGGTATGACGCGGTCGAACCCGCGACCTTCCGCTCTCCGGGCGGACGCTCTAACCACTAAACCACGGAGGCGGTCAGACCCATTAGTATGTGACATTGACACAGTGGTTAATGTGTGTTGTATTTACTTGTGAGTTTTATGAAATTGCCGTGTTAAGAAGTGCCGTTTGAGTATTGAGATTTTACAATATTATAAAGGCTTCTCAGCAGCCACTGATACATTAATCGAAGGTTGTCAATAGATCGATATTTGTGTGAAATGCTTGAATTAAAACAGGTTTCAGAGGGAACAGGATACCTCTTAAACAATTAGAATCAAGTAGTCCAGGCCACGATAGAATTAGTGTTTCACATGAAAACGGTAACATGTTGCCTACAGAGATATGTACCTGACCACATTCAAATGTTCGCTTACTAATTCACGTTATTTGCTATTTTTGTCTTATTTCCTCATGTACAGTAAGGGATGGAAAGACTTCATGTTGTGTCACACCATGGCTACCATGGCTACCCGGTATCATCTCTATTGAACTCTCTGTGAACTGGGAACAAGAAAGTGAAATAACACGAAGGGATTGTTCAGGTGAGCGAATGAGTCCGGTTTCACTCCGTTTATAGCTATATTCCAGACAGTAGACACGACCAGATGGGAATAAAACCCGCATCTTCGTCACCTGCGAACGCTTGAACCATTACGCTACCCCCACCGCCCATAGTTGTTTCAAACTCTCATCAAACAGTCTTTACCAAGTGCAATGTGAGTGAATGAGTGAGTGAGTGTGGTTTTACGCCACATTTAGCTATATTCCGGCAAGATCATTTCGAGGAACACCAGAAATGGGCTTCACACGTTGTATCCATGTTGGGAATCGAACCCGGGCCTTCAGCGAAGTGCAATGTAACAGGAAGTTTCAGTCAACGGGTGACCAGGTACACTGCTGCGGAATATTTCCCTGTAGCAAAATTACTAGTCATACAGGGGCGGTGGGATAGCCTAATGGTTAAAGCCGAAAACCCAGGTTCGATATTGTTATCTTTCTTTAGTGCCCCAACTTCTAAATAAGAGCGGTGGGGTAGCCTATTTGTTAAAACACACGGGTTCGACTCCTCACATGGGCACAATGTGTCAAGTCCATTTCTGGTGTCATCCACCGTCATATTACTGGAATATTGCTAAAAGCGGCGTAAAACCATACTCACTCACTACTAGTTATACAAATACTAGTAGTAGTTGCACTGATTATTTTCGTTATTTGCATTACATGATATTTGAGTCAGAACGAAGCTAAGTAGTGAAAAAATATACTTAAGGGTTTATGCTTTGAGACTGCTCAAAGTAATGTTCATTGTTCATCGAAATATCAAACTAGCGTTGTAAACATTGTCATAAACACGTTAAAATAACTACCTATTTCCGGGATTAGGATCCGGTTCAACATCGACTTCCAAGTATACAGTTACATTCGTTTGACAATACCTAATACATGAAAGAATAACTTAAAATTGAATAAAGTAAGTTGTTTATTTGTTGAACCCAGTGTCCAGCGTTTTAAGGACAGCAATATATACATGTGGAAACAATGACTCTATTTAGAGTGTTCTTCACTCATCTGGAAAATATATACAATCAATATAATTAGTACACAACTTTCTTTGGCACATACTGGGGCAGATATTTCCAATGTATGGGCCATGCAACACAACACAATACTCAATATTATTGCTTGCAACTGGGAAGGTATATACACAACATGATGGTCAATCATTTACATATGTAGTGTCTGGAACTATAACACAAGTGTCTCCTTTGGAAAGTCAACAGCAAGATAAACCAACAAAGCGTAGGTAGTGATGCATCTACACCACACTGACAAATGTTTCTGGGTCTGTAATCCCCTCCACATAATCGCGGCACAGTGTAGTATGAACACATCGCACATTACAGCGTCGTTTCCTTATTCATCACCAAGGTCATCATCCGCGTCGCCTGTGCGCTGTGTTGTTAGATACCTCACCTGTGCATTAGCAGAGGCAGCTATTAATTCCAGTAACTCGAGAGACTCACTGCTTGTCTGCATATCTTCATGTGTATCTGTTTGTCCATTAACACCGTGCAACCTCGAGCCTGACATGGGTTCATAGATATGTTCCTGATGCCAGTCTGGTCCGTCTACCACACCTACTTTGTCACCATCAGCCATCGCACCTGGAGTATCAATAACCCTTGGTTTAATATCTGGTACAGCATCAATCTCTTCCCTCATCCTGTTCCCTTGGCTCGGCTGTTCATGTGATGATTCTTTAAGGCAAGCCACCCTCTGTTCAGGTCTGGTGGTCAACAAAACTTGTTCCCTGCAGCCAGTGTCCACGTCCTGATCGTTGATCTCATAGTATTTATGCGCCAAATAGGTACTGGATCCACTACCTTCGGCTTGGGTGACTGTTACAGCATCCTGCTGGGACCTGTGTATCAATCAAACGACCACTGAAGCATATATTGCTGACCATTTATAGTTAACACTGTCAAATCCTCCACACTGTGCAGGCAAATATGTAATCGGTATTCTTAAGGAAACTTAAAACACCTCATTTACCTTCTTCGTTTTTTATAAATCTTCTTAACAGTCTGAAGAGCACCGATCAACAGAAATGTTGACAGGATGGAACACACAATCATCAGGATGTGGACAGTTTTCAGACCATCTGGTTCCCCTGGTGAGGCTGTGGTGGCATCTGAAACGTTTCATATACTACATTTTACTTTCATATGATAATGACTCTAAAGGACACAGTGTTTCTAAAGGATGTCAGTGTTTCGCTACATCAATCCAAGTAAAAAAATGTCTTTCAATGTTTTCAAAATGATTTGCATGATAGTATATGAAGCTACGACACGTGAAACATGGGTGGTACACGTAGCAAATGTGCCCAAGTCATGTATCAAACAGTGATATACCCTACCCTATGCACTGACAATTGATGGCAGGACAACGTTATGCACGATATGTTTGGACAGCAAGAAGAAAGGTAATGCAGATGATATGTAAGAACCTTAGATTTTTGTTCGAAATTTTCTGACATATTCTGCCCTTACCTGTGTGACAGTCTTCGCCGTGACATTTTCCATCGTCACACTCGAAGTAGCTCTCATCGCACCGTGTACACGTCTCTTTATGTTCGTCGCATTCTACACAAGATTGTGATGAGCAGGTAACATTGCAGAACGTTCCAAGGGAACCTAATATACAGGCACGACATTTCCCTATATCCTTATCACATCCGTCTCTACAGGTGGATGGACAAGGCGTTCTACAGTGTGGACCGTAATACCGGGGATTCTGACATGGTCCTATGCAATCATCTCCATAACGTTTACACTGTGTACAGGCTGCATCACAGTTCGCACCACAGTTGTCTCCCCTTTTGCCAGCAATACATCCCTCTGTACACACAACCAGGCTGTCCGTCTGACAGCGAGAGTTGAGACAGGTGTCTGGACAGTCATGTTCACACTGTTTACCGTAGAACCTGGAGTCCCGACACTGAAGACACTCTCCAGGTGACGTCAGATTGATACATCGTGGCACACACTCTCCTTCAACACAAACTCGGTTATCGTCCTCACAGTTGGTACAGAGTCTACTGGAAAACGCACGTGTTGCCACTGTAACGACAAAATGAACACTTGTAACATCTTCTGAGAAGTTTGTCACATTAACATACATGTGAATCAGTAACTGTCGGTCTAAAGATCCTTGTCCACAGGTTAAATATGAGTTACGCAGACACTTATATCTTTTTTAAACAATGCATTTTCTGTAACAATTATTATGCCCTGTTTATGATATATACACAAATATATACTTTACATTACCCGATCTGACATACGTTCCTATTATTAACAGTGTTTACAAATTCACGATTTATGTATAATTGACCTAAATATATAGATATAATCTAAAAGGTATAAACAGGTACCTGTTATCAAGGTCACCAGTGTAATCGTCACCGCCAACGTTGCCATGGTCAACGGTGCGCTGTTGAAAAACAGGCAATACTTGCTTGAAAAGTATATTGACTGTCATTAATACAACATTGGTTGCTAATGGTATATATGAAAGGATGAAAAGGTGAATCCTAGCATCAAATTAGAAATACAGAAACGACATGCTATAATAACCTGGAACAACTATTACATTTGCTATCTTACCTCGCAGGTGGGTGTAATATTGGTGCATCGCCCACGTGAGTTAACTGTGAGTTCGGAATACTTCCTCTCACTACCCTTGACCTAGGGCCGTGTGGGTTTTGTTGGAGATCATGGATCAGTTTCATGCACAATGCAAACACACCAGGAAGCATTTTGTGTACGTATGTTTCACCCGATATATCTCCTTTATACCAATTCGATAGGTGAAGTAAATTACTTTCTACATCATGATTGGAAAGGTAAAGAAAATTATAAGAAGCAAATCGGTGTATTTGATTGTACGTTAGAATGGTGAATATGGTTCGCAAACACCTGGTATTATCCGTATCTGGTAGTGATTCAAGAAAAATAAAGCGACCTTTCTATAGTCACAAAGACGCCAAAATAGGAGTCGTTAGTCCGATCCCGACTACATCATGAGCGTGATGATATCGGGTGTTTGGGAAACGGTGAACGTATCACGATCGGTGGCACTCGTCGTAAACACAGAAAGAGGCAAGTTGATGGTTTACCTGGAAAACACAGGGTCACTTGTAGTCGTATAGATAACTCGTATGTCAGACTCTGGTGTCATTACCGATTTCTTGTGATTATGGAAATGGTTTTGTCGCTTTTGTTCCAAGGTCGAGAACGAAAGTTGCTGTCCTCTGTAGGTGCAGCATCATACGTGTCATGAACCAGTTAGATAGTCAATATACTCAATGTAGCATGTTAATGTTTTTGAATGTGATACACAGGCTAGCTGATTGCTGTGTTCAGTTACAGATTATCAAGTCTCTTGGGTTGTTTTTTCTAGCGCACAATAAATCAAGATGTAAATAAGGAAGAAGAACCAAACACCAATACAACGGGGAATACAAATACAACAGGCCTTGTTTCCTCTTATGACAATTTACATTTTAGATTTGTTCCCTTATGTTATACCATACATGAAGTAGCCCAGTGAGTGTTACTGACGACGCAGCCTCGTTATGATGTAAAGTCTGACCACCTGAAAACGTACTGGTCAGTTTTTGTTGGTGCCGCTCATATATACAACACACCAAATACGACAGAATACCGTACTTGAGAGGGTACATTTAATGAAAGATCATTCATCACAAGCTTCTCACTCACACGAATTCAGTGTAAAAACAAAAACAAACTGGTATTATACAAAGAATAATTTCATTAAGACTATATTCGGGTTTTACATTAATACAAATGACTTGAAAGTATTTACAATGTTAGTATGTGCAAAAAAAACAATTTACAGTATATTTATAATGTGCGTGTGTGATTCTTTAAAAACTTGTATTGTGTTTCCCTGCATGACAGTAATTGACGCCATCTTTTGTTTTTAACAAAGCGTTAGGTAAAAAATTACACCTTTTGTACAGACCACACATGTTTTTGTCGAGTAGGAGAAAGGTGTATCTCGAAAGGGCTATACTTGCTCCTCCTTGCTAACAACACCTCATATCCATATACTGAGGATTCGATAGGGGAAACATTAAATATTCGTTAGAAATTGAAAACAGTTCAACAGGCAGCTTTATTTTATACTGGAAGAATATAATATTAAAACCGAAAAGCAAAGCGCCTGGTATACTGACACACTGGTGTAATTAAGTCGGGTGGGTAGTTTCCATACAATATCCGTCTAATCACAGTTTTACAGGTGGTGTGTAGTCTTCTGTGTTTCAGAAAAAAGTGGGTTTCTTAAACAAGCAACTGCAGCCAGGCGGGTAACACGAGATAAAACCTGTTTCCATTTTTCTGATCAATGCTATTGCAAAGTGCGAGTTTTGGGGAGCAGATAGTGGTACAATCTGTGATGATCGCATTATAATGTCAGTGTCAAAGCAGAATATTACGGAATTTACGGCGATTGGCTTAACTTATATAAGGTACAAACACGTATGAAGACCAACGATACACGTATCATCCTTGTCAAACTACGGACATTCATAAGACAGCTAAAACATAGCAAGATTATTTAAGCCTCCAAGAAAATAACTACATTTAAAAGATATTAAATTCATGTTATTGCACATATTATAAGCAATAGAGTTCAGTGACATTTGGGCTGAAATTCCCTCAGCCATTCAAGGGTAGGTCCTTGTATTTTTTGTGGTCACAGTTGGCTGATATTGTCCGCAGTATGTTCGGCGCTGTTATCCGTGATATCACTGATTTTTAAATCAATTGGGAACTTTAAAAGTAAAATAATGAAAGCCGTAAGTTGCTTTCACATTTACACTCTGTCTAACACATTTCAATCGATTAAACTCTCTGTTGAACTGGGTGGTGTATTGAAATAGTGGATATGAACACATGGCCTCGTCAGTTCCACAACTGTAATTCCATTGGAGAAGCTGTCTAAACTTCGTTCCAACACAGGCGCAGTGACGACTTCCTGTTGGTCAGCGCTCCCTGGCGCGTCAGTGGATGTCCCAATGGGATGCGAGCAGCGGATGTCAAGTGTGTTGTAATCTCCGTCAACAGGTACGGCATCAGCTCCATTGACTTGCATATCAAAGAATGTGTTATCTATGTAGTCATAGGAATGTTCGGAGACGTCTTCTTCTATGTCTGCAGCAACAGTCTTAGTCGTGGATCTGAAATAGTTAGTCGTACCTAGGAAACTGGAACAAGTTCAAAATCACAATGAGTCACATTGAGATAACTGATTTTTGCCGATTGACCACGTATATATCTAAATGATTGCATAACAGAAGAAAAAAAAACATTCAAGTAAAATACATGTTTCAGGTAATCGCCCTAACCCTTTCACTCATTGTAACATCTTACTTCGCCCAAACTGAATACAAGTAGTGTTTGCCTTTCCAAACGCCATACCCTTGGAAAGGGAAATAATACATATAATTGAGCCTTTATTGTCTGTCGACATCACCATACTTTCAAAACTTGTGAACTTCCTGGCAACGGGTATGAATCTACATCAGTTGTGTACTGAATCTTAGACATGAGAAGAGAGCTCGACCATTTCAGGTCACTGACAGAAGCATCACAAGGTTGTTTTTGAAATATTAACGTTCAATGCTATATACACAGATTGGATATGATATGCAAACAAACCTCCTCCGATTACGCACAAGCAGTATGGTCACAATCAGCATCACATGGCCTAGGATACCCACTGTTATCACTGTAGGAGTAACTGCATCGTTTCCTAAAAACAGATATTTGCAATATACCACATATATACTGCATACTGTTGACTAGAAAACCCAGAAAGCCTTGGTAAATAAAAGTAATTCGTAATTCGATAATTGTTTAAATAACTGGTCTTTTAACCATTGACGTACTATTACGGATAAGTTGTTTAAATAACTGGTCTGCGTGACAACTTAACCATTGACGTACTATTACCTTTATCACATTCAGTATACATCACACTTGTGACAGGAAACATTCGATACACTTGTCCCTTGACTAGAAAACCAAGTTGGCCTTGGAAGGAAACATTACACTTGTCCCCTATTGTAACCTGGTTTAACCATTGACGCACTCCCCATGCCTTTATCACACCCACCTCTACAGTTGGGGTGACAGGTATTATACACTTGCAATCACACTTGTCCCCTGTGGTAACCTGGCTCACAGCTTCCACATTCCCTGTGGTACTATCACATCCACCTGTACAGTTGGGGTGACAGGTAACATCACACTTGTCTCCTGTGTAACCTGGCTCACAGCTGCCACACTCCCCTGTGATCCTATTACATCCACCTGTACAGTTGGAGGGACAAGGTGTTGAGCAGTTGTGACCGTAATACTGGGGATTCTCACACGGTCCTGTACAACCTTCACCATAACGTTCACACTGTGTACAGGCTGAAGGACAGGTCACTCCACAGTTATCTCCCTTCTTGCCGGCCACACATCCCTCTGTACACATAACACTGGTGTTGTTCATCTGACAGCGAGAGTTGAGACAGGTGTCTGGACAGTCATGTTGACACTGTTTACCATAAAACCTCGAGTCCAGACACTGGATACACTGTGACGTCACATTGTCACAGCGAGGTAGACATACACCGTCAACACAGGTCACGTTGTTAACGTCACAGTTGCAGGGTGTGGTTGTAGAAGAAACTGGTAACAAAGATCCGGTCAGATATTACAGACAGTGAGTCTAAAATACGTTTACTCATATTATTGGATAGCAGTCGAAATAATATCGATAAAGTCGATACAAGGCATACTTCCAGTTGAAGCTGTAGAGAGGGAAAGATATAGATTGGGATTGCGTTCAACTAACACACCTTGACAAATAACCAACAGGGCGTAACACAGTCTACCGCCAAAACACCAACACGTAACACCTACCGCCAACGCACGTCACATATGCTAGAGAGTTGGTGATATGAATGATAGCTATGGCGAGGGGTATGCTGGGCAAACTGTTGATCTAAAATGTATTTAGTGCAATCTATGTGGATATGGACTATTACTTTGATGTTGGATTATGCAAATGTAATATGAAGATGATAATTTTCAGAGAAATCGGATATCGTTACTATCGTGTCTTGCAGTAATGTTTCGCTTCTTTTTACCTTTTAAGGTACCGACAGTCTAAACCATATCTGAGTTGACTTCATTTGTTGCTTAAATTCAAACTGAATACAGATTTTTTGACATGGCGAGATGAAGCCAAACATTAGTATCCGGAGCATATTTCAATGTCGTTTTAAATGTTTCTAGATATATGAGTCCATGATTAAGTCACATCTGATATGCACTGACATCAATTGTAACTACAGACAATACATCTCATCCACAACAAATTCAAGGTTCAGATATACATTTTCTGAGCTTTAACGACATTGTACGCACCTGATGCTACCACAAGGACTATAGCCATGAGGCCCTCCATGGATGTAAGGTCCTGAAAAAAAGTAATTACACATGGTACAAGTTTTTACACAGATGACCACTTTCCCCTATATCGTCAAATGTATGGGTCATTTATCGGTGACGTGATGTCTGCCATGCACATTGGCTAACGTGGTTAACTTGAAACATAATGAACACCTTCACCTTGTGTGTACAATAACTACTGACTCACGACCCTGGTAGTTTATTCTCTTTAACTCCCAGTAACATTAAATTGGAATATGTTATGTTCAAAATGCTGACTGACACCTGATAATTGGAAGCCAAACCTTTTGAATGTGTAGCCCGAAACAACTCCACGCCCACCTTCTTCTGTTTCAAAGGATATACATCTGAAATCGTAGCTCACCTGTCTCAATTTACAACAGACAACCATTCAAGTATAATTTCTGCTAAATACAAGCGAGCCTACATGGTGGTCGACGGTAACTCCGTCCCGAGTTACCGCTATCGAGCTCCGCGGCAGAGAGTCACCCTGACAGATTGGATTACGGACCGAAACGCCCATAGACACAGTTCCAGGCGATTCACTGGTGTTCTCACAGTGGACAAACTCACCTACATAGTAAATAACAGTTGCATGCCTACGTCATCAGGACTAGAGGACCCTCAATCACCATCTTTAAGTGGAAGCAGGAAACTTACTTCGTCTACAGGGCTACAGTTATCATCTTGCGACAGTATTTCAGCATGAATCAGTGAAATTAATACCACAATAGGCCCGAGTGGATTTAACATAATTTCACTGAATGTTTGCGGTTTACGTAATAAGCTCCAATACCAGGACATTATAAATTTGATAAATACAGTTAGTATTGTTGGACTTCAGGAAACAAAAACAGATGATATAGAGGTGATTAATGTTGATAACTTTAACAGTGTTAAAAAGCAGGACTTCTGGGCAGAAACGGTCAGGAGGTACTGGGGGTTTGATTAAAAATGATATCTCTAAATATGTTACAGTTCTTCAATCAGATTGTGATGTGACGCTATGGATTAAGATTGACAAGTGTGTATTTCAATCACCGGACGATGCCTGTATTGATTTGTTTACATTCCACCACAAGGTTCCAAATATCATAACAATGACAGTTTCTATGACCTCGAAAGTGAAGTCACTAAATATTTATCTTATTGAAGTAATGTTTATTTAATGGGTCATTTTAATGCCCGTATAGGGACAGAAACCGATCTGTGTGAAATAAGCCACGACCTCGGCCGACGGTCTGGTCTTTCTGACCAAGACATGGAGCTCATAAATACTAGATCGTATTTCATCGATATGAACATTCAAGAGACCAGGTCTTCGACGGACACATTCGGGAATATGTTATTAGATCTGTGTAAATCATCATCCATGTTTGTTGTAAATGGCCGCTTGGGCAAAGACATTGGCGTTGGTGAACTTACATGCAGAGACAGGAGTGTTGTAGACTATGTGCTGGCATCACATGATTCATCAATTGTAATTAAAGACTTTCAGGTGACTCATTACTCAGTTTGCTACAGTGACGTTCATAAACCTTTGTGCATCACGTTTGGAAATGCCTCAGTTAAAATGTTGATGATTATATAGAAAATGTTGAAAACGTTTTGTCAGAATACCCAAAAAGATTTGATCCACTTAAGTCACGTGACTGTTAATTGCATTGATGCCGCAGAACATGCTCACGAGAGCACGTGAACCCCGTGCAGGTCGCCGTGACCTGACCAGTATCGTTACAGATGTCACTGACAAGCTGGGTCAAGTCTTTATACAAGCTGCTACGCAGGTATTTGGCCGAAGAAATGTCATTAAAGGACGTAATTTATGTAGGAAATCTAATCCGTGCCAATGGTATAATAAAGATTGTCTTGTCTTGTGCTAAAAAGAAAATATAGAAGACTAAGAAGAAAATGTGAGAAGACTAGATCAGGAGTTGATAAAGAAAATGTAAGGACATTTAATCGTTTATATAAGAAGACTGTTAAATGGCAATATAGAAAGTTTTTGACTTTTGACTTTGACTTTGACGTTGAATCATACTTAGCGACTACTGCCTGTGATGGTGTAGAAATTGATGATATATTTGGGTTTGTAAAGATTTTTGTACTGATGTATGCTGATGACATGGTCTTATTTGCTGAAAGTCCGGATGAGTTACAGCGTAGTATTAATATCTTTAGAGAGTGGTAGACTTAAGTAGTGGTATTTGGTTCTGGAATTGCAAGGGTGAATTTTCAAAAATATAATTTTGGTGACGTACCTTTGAACCTGTCAGACACATATACTTACTTTGGAATAAATTTTCATAAGAATCGGAAATGTAATGCTGCCATTAATTCTCCAAGAGAACAAGGTCTGAAAGCAATGTTTTGGTTGCTAGCTAAAGCAAGACATTTACACTTACCGCCAGACTGTCTTGTTCAAATATTCGACCATATGGTTGTACCAATATTATTGTATGGTTGTGAGATATTGGGCCCTTAGGTTTGAAACGTTAGAATTAGTTCATAGATCGTTTATGAAGAATGTGTTTCATCCACGTAAAAGTACCCCGGCTTATATGTTATACGGCGAGACTGGACGCCTGTCTTTAAGTATTAATATCTAAAATAGAGTATTATGATATTGGTGTAAAATTTTAGATAATGAAAACCAAAATAGACTTACACGTAACTTGTACACTAAATTATTAGCAGTAGACAGACGTTTGCAATCTATCACTTGTTTCAGCTAATATGACAGTATCGTCAGCGTAAAGTAATATCAACAATTCATAAAGATACCAAGCTGGTCCTCAATAAGCCTATTTACATATTCGAGGCCAGTTACATCATGTTCATAAATAAAACATTCAAGATTATACAAGTATGAATAACTGGAGAATATGACGTTGTTGAATTAGTTTTTGCAACTAACTGTAGAACAGGATGTTTTGATTACTTAAGATTATTTGAAGATGAAAGTGAAACAGTATTTATGCAATACAGTATAAACAAAGTAAATGGAGAACGGGACGTTTTATAATAGTTATTTTTCCCATGACTTTTGTTGTTGTTGAATTGTTTTTACAAATAACTGGAGAACAGGATCTTTTATTGCGTTTAAGATGAAAGTGAAAAGTATTTATAAAATTCAGTATAAACAAAGTTTATAACTGGAGAACAGGATGTCTTATAATAGTTATTGTTCCTAGTATGACTTTTTGTTGTTGTTGAATCTGTTTTTGCAAATAACTGGAGAACAGGATCTTTTATTGCTTAAGATGAAAGTGAAATAGTATTTA